GTGGTAACGGCTATCAGAAACCGAGCGCCGGATAAGCTTTTACTATCCGATAACGATTAACGGCTATCGGCTGCGATTGTGCTGACCTGACCCGAGTATCGGGTCCGACCGACCGATTGCGTTCATCGACTTAAAAAGATTTATCGGCGCATGGCGCCCGCCTTCGAGTTCACCTCTCGATGAAGTCGGAGAAACTAACGACGTTGTGCGAGCCCTGCTACGAAAGTTCACTACCTTTGGAACACGATTAAAACAGTATTCATCAGCGCGCAAATACCGCACCGCTTCCACCCCAGAGAGAAATTAGCGGGGCAGACATTCCGCGAACCGACTAATGAATTTCGGGCAACCGAGCTGCTCCCGCACTTCCTACGAGAGAGAGAGAGAGTTTCTCTCCATTTGCGTTCTCATTAAATCTCAATTTCAAATAGCACGCCACTCGCGATTATCGCCGGTCGTTTCGAGAGAAGTTCCTCTCGCTTGCGGAATTGACTATCATTTGCGGAAAAATCCGAGAGACTTAAGTTTCTGGAAAGTTTCTCTACTTCGAAATCAACAACAAGTTTAATTACTTTAAATGTCGTTAATACTTGCATATAAAATTCTTGGATACAATTCCTTCAAACACACAACAATGTTAAAACGTGTAATAGTATTAATAAATGTTTATATGTTGTACTTCAAATAAATGTTTGATAAAACGTGGCTCTTTGATTTTTGGCGAATGACAGTCAATAATGGCGCGTCAATTTTGTGTCATGTAATTTGTAGATACTTACTGATAATTAATACCAAAATCCTTCCTCGTGATAAAATAATTTTTTAATGTATAAATTGAGAACAACCCGTAATTGTGCATGTATCGATGTTTCAAGAGGAAAGTTAAATCTCAAAAGTCGCTTACCTTTTTCGAGCTGCTGCGATATCGGGCTTTGCACCCTCGGAGTTGTCTGTAACTGCGCTGCGTTTCCTGGTCGCCTTCGAGGCCTTCTTCCGGGTCGTGGCTAAATAACCAATAAAAGAGACAAATTATTTTTTTAATAATTAGAGAATTAATATTACGTAAGAATTAATATAAATATAAC